TCGGATTTAACGAAACAATCTATTGCATTTGAATGGAAACAAGAACAGCAAGAAGCATTTGATAAATTGAGACACGCTTTGTGCTCAGAACCAATTTTGCAATATCCTAATTTTAATGAACCATTTATTATAACTACTGACGCATCAGGATACGCCATTGGTGCAATTTTAAGTCAAGGCAAAATAGGAAGCGATCTACCCATAGCTTATGCATCAAGAGTTTTAAATGACGCAGAAACAAGATATTCGCCTACAGAAAGAGAATTATTAGCTTTAATTTATGCTGTGAAACATTTTCGACCTTATGTTTATGGACATAAATTTACATTAGTAATGGATCATAAACCATTAGAATGGTTAAATTCAGTATCTGATCCTACGTCACGATTAATGAGGTGGAGACTAAAATTAGCGGAATATGATTATCAAATAAAATACAAACCAGGAAAGATAAATAAAAATGCTGACGCTTTGTCCAGAAATCCTATCGAAGAAATTAAACATGTATATCCTTTGAATGCAAAACGAGCATTATCATCTTCAAGTGAAGCCTCAGTAGGGCAAGAACATAAAAAACAAAAAACATTTCACCCGAGTTTTAAAAGAGCAATGGAAAGTGAGGGATCAGGAAATCCAGCACCGCATAAAAAGAACAGACCTGATGAACCATCTCCTTATATAGATTCAGATTCAGATAGTGAAGAAGAAATATCACCTAGAAGTAAATTTTTAAAAGCTTTAGACAGTAGCAGTGACAGTGGAACAGTTTCATATTATTATGAAACCGACTATGATACCGACAATTCAGAAATATGTCAAAAAGGTGAAAAAAGGAAACACGAGAGTAGCTCTTCTACCCACATAAGACGCAGAAAGCGAAAGCATAAGAGAACAAAGAAGCACCGTAAAGATTCCAGTCCGAAGAAACTTGACGAATCCCATGATGACACTAAAGACGCAATGTTGCATGTGGATGAAGCTGAAGGGCGCGGCCCGCAAGAGCGTCTTAGCGATGACGACGCCGCCTATGAGCCGCTACAGGAAGCAACCGCTCCCGACGACGCACGCGCTTCACGCAAGAGGCCGAGCGAAAGCCACACAACGGGTGTCCCGAAAAAACGAATCGATGATAAAAAATTTTATAATGAAAAAGAAATGCATAAACAACAAGAGGAATCTGAAGATGAGGCTATGGAAATAACATCACAATCTAGCGACAGCCATCAAAACCGCACTAATATTGAAGTACAGGCTGACGTTCATGCACCACCTTCGCATATACAAATAATACCAAAATCAAAAGTAAAAATTGATAAAAAATTACAAAAATTGCCAGATGACATTGACGCTATTGAAATAATAGAAGAAAATATACCATTAAATAAACAAGAATTAAAAACAATGGAAGTAGATACTGATAATGAAATGGATTATGAAATCAATAAAAAACCATTAGGATACCGTGAACAGAAAACACCGAGCGATGATTCGACAGACGAAAGTAATACGAACAGAATATTTTCACCTCCTTCGTATAAAGCAGTTCCTAAACCTTTACAAATAAGTAATAAAATATCTGCGAAAACAAAAACCACAACTTCTAATAAAAAACCAGTAAATAAAAAATTCTCAAACAAAAAATTAAGTAAGAAAATAAATAAAAAATCTAACTTAAAGGAACGAACACCGCCGAGAGAATTACAGAGACCAAGAATAAGAGAAATGGAAGTTACTTCTGTTAACATTATAGACTCTCGAGATCACATATGGATGAGGAATGATAATATAATATACTTTATAAATACAAAGGGAGATCCGATAGATGAAATAGGGAAAGAATTAATTGATAGAAAAATATGCCAGAAGCCGAAGAATTTTAAAGGAATAATAGGACATGTGTTAATATCAGAAAAGAACAACAAGAAAATTTTTGGAATAATAATTAAAGAAGAATTAAATGATCAGATTCAAGAAAAACATGTAGCGCAGGGATTTAGAGAATTAAAAAACGAAATGATGCGTTTAAATATTTCACATGCGAGCATATCTGAAAACAATAGCGATATAAAAATACCATGGTTCAGAATACGATGCATTATAAGACTTACATTTTTAAATACAGACATTCAAATTACTGTATGTAAGGGCCAAGTGTGCATACCCGAGCTCAAGGATAGACCGCGTATCATACGTGAGTCCCACGAATCCAGTGTCGGAGGACATAAAGGAATCGCAAAAACAGTGGCGCGGATACGTCATAAATATTTTTGGGAAAATATGAAAAGTCAAGTTGAAAAATTTATTCAAACCTGTAGTAGTTGCCAAAAGAAAAAATTAGTACGCGTAAAGACTAAACAACCGATGATTATAACCGACACTCCTGTAGACGCATTTGATAAAGTTGCTATGGATATATTAGGGCCTTTGCCTATTACTGATAATGGTAATGAATATATTTTAACAATTCAGGATCAATTAACAAAATATTCAGTTGCCGTACCTCTTGTGCAAGCGAACTCAGAAGAAATAGCAAAAGCATTCACGCGTAGATTTATTTGTCAATTTGGAAGTCCCAAAGCAATTTTGACGGATCAAGGTTCAAATTTTACTAGTTCAATGATGAAGAAATTTGCAAAATATTTTAAAATAAAACAATATTGCACAACTGCTTTCCATCCTCAATCCAATGGCTCGTTAGAAAGAAGCCACCATGTATTGACCGAATATTTAAAGCATTACATAACTGATGAACACGATTGGGATAATTGGCTCGAGCATGCTATGTTTTCATATAATACTAGCGTACATGAGGGAACAAAATTTACACCGTATGAATTAGTATTCGGCAAAGCCGCACGATTGCCATCTGAAATAAAGACAGAAAATCCGGTAGAAACGTATGACGATTACGTGAGCGAACTTATTGATAAATTAACTGATTTAAGAAAACTAGCTGTGTCAAATTTAGGGTTAGCCAAAACACGTTATAAACACTATTATGATAAGAAATTAAAAACACAAACGTATAAAGTAGGAGATTTTATATATTTACTAAAACCTAAAAAGAAAAACAAGTTCGATGATGAATATACAGGGCCGTATGAAATTGTGGAAATCCTAGAAAATAATAATATTAAAATATTAATTCCACCAAATAAAATTAAAATCGTACATGTAGACCGAACTAAACCTGCTCGGATTGCAGATCAGGGATGAAGGAAAAAGAATACACAATTACTGGTTTAAAAGATAATCCTGGAATATTTTTCGAAGCCGTTGGAGAAATGCGTACGTCCGAAAATTCTTGGAAGATGATAATCTACATCGACTTGCGCGATATTAAAGGCGCAACGGCCAAACTCGAACAGCAAATGGACTCGATATTACAACAATGTGGTGATCACAATTCACATTGTGAAATACGACCACGATTGACTTCATTAATTGCCAAATTGAATAAGATAAAGCAGTATCAAGATCATATACGCGCACTCATAGGAGAATCCCGCACAAAACGAGCTCCCTTGGAATTTGTTGGACAACTTAGCAAGATATTATTCGGAACTTTAACCATCGAAGACGAATATGCCATGCGTAATGCAATAATGCATGTAGAAAATAAAACTAACGATCTCGCTCTGCTACTCGTGAATCAAACTGTAGCAACGCGAGCGCGTTTCGGGGAACTGTACAACGCCACATGGGAGATAAGAAAGCAGCTTAGCGCAATAGAAATTAAAGCGATGTTAAATCAAAGGCATCGATATTTTTGGGAAGTTATGACAAAACTGGATACGGAAATATTACAACATGAAATAGATTTAAATATTCTGATCGATGGAATATTATTCGGAAAGCAGGGATTCATCCACCCCCGTTTAATTTCACCGCAACAATTAATAGAAAATTGTAAGTTAATAAAAGAACAGAATCCTCATGCAGAATTTCCGGTAAGTACAGACGAAATCGGAATGGATCAACTTATAAAAATATCCAACTTACGAATTGCCTATTCCGGAAATCGATTGATTTATATTCTGCATATTCCATTATTGATTCCTGGAATATATAAAATGTATAGAGCCGTACCATTACCTGCTAAACAAGCATTTGACGAAACAAAATTCGCAATAATTAAATCTGACGCAGAACATATTGGAATAAGCGAGGACACCGATAGCTTCTACGAGTTCCGAGAAGGGGAACTGCGAGAATGTATATCGTCCAGCACCGTATTTATCTGCCCAGCTATATTTCCTTTGAAAAAGATACGGCAAGCGACAAGTTGTAATATTCAACTCTTACTAAATAAGAATATAGAAATGGAATATTGCAACATAGTATTACAAAACCTACGAGAAACATACTGGAAAGCCTTAACTACGCCCGGAAATTGGATATATACTGCAAGAAAACGAGAAATAATTCGTATAGAATGCCAACAAAGCAACCAGGAAGAAATAAGTAATTCTGGCATTATTTCCATACGCCAAGGATGTAAAATTAAAGCAGGGACTACTACGATGAGCCATCCATCCGTTCATTCTATAGAATTCGTACAGCATTATACTCCGATGAACAACCTAAGCATTTTACAATTGTACGAGCCTATCCGCGAAAAATATCAGATCGACCTGGCAGAAGCGACAAGCGAATTATGGACGATGAATAATAGCCACGTATCAACGACTTTTGATGACATCATTGAAAAGGCTCGCCAGATCAAGGATAGACGGATGCAAGAACAAAGACTTATCACCTACAGTGCAGTAGGATGGGGCATGAGTGTTCTCGGAATACTTGTGGTCATCATCTGGATGATAAGCAGGACTTCTTGGATCAGCAGTACTGCGAATTTACTTTATGCACGATGCAACTGTAACAAAGGAACCAAGGGACCTACCCCTTGCTCCTCAGTAGAGAATAAAAGCCGAAGTACCGAGCCCGAATCCGAACAGTCTGACTTAAGAACGGCAACGATCCAGTATAATCTACAAGCAGAAGCACAGGAAGCAGAGACACACTGACGACTTGAAGACGTACAGCAATAATTCGTAAGTGACCAAACCACATGACTTCGTACCAAAATTTAGTCTTTGGTTTGTGCTCACTTCACAGGATGAGAAGGAGCAGCTATTCTACCAATCACTATAAACGTTGGCACAGAATATTGGGACGACTCCGCCGGATTATTCTAACCATGCCGGGAATTGACGAAGATGTGCCTATGGACCTCAGCGCAGCGCAGTCGTATCGGCGGTCGCCAATTCCAATGCAGCGAGGACCACCGGAGCGCGACACCAGATCTCCTGGCGTCGACGTCCATCCCAATATGGACCGTGACTGGCCCGGACCAACAGATCCTGAGGTCTTCGCCAGACCTCAGCGTCCGCCAACACCGGCGAACACCATCTACGAGGTGCCGCGAATGACAGTGGCATCCGTTGAAGCAGCTCTCACTCCAGGAATGGAGAATTTAATCGACGAGGTGCTCGACGAGATCAATCGAGAGTCTCCCGACGATGACAGCCTGGGCAGCGAAGTGACAGGCACTATCAGACTGCCTGATGTCTCTCGACCTCCGCCTCGTTACGCCAACATCCCGGCAACGCAGACGAGCCACGAGTACGTGGCAATGGCATCTTCAACACGAGCGGAAGCATGCAGCAGCCGTGGGTCGCATTCTTTGAGCGGCCTGAGTACATCGCTAAGCAGCCCGCTTGCATTGGGAGGACAATGTGGATCATACGATCACCTGGGCGAACCTGCAAACCGACATCATATAATAGGTGAGCGCCCTATGCTTCCCATACCGCAGGGCTCGCCACCCCCTCCTACACAACCGCCGCTATCAATACCGATTTATTACCGCGATTATTCAGATCCACTAGTACGACCGGCTTATGACTTTATATGTCATTCCGCGTGGTATGCGCAAATCGCGGCCGAACTCGCGTTGTGTGCGGATTGTGC